TCTTTCCACCCATACTGTTAAATTAATTTTCACAGTAAATGGCTGCATCTTATTTCACCTCACATGGTCAAAACTAGATATTAACTGGAGTTTTTTTATTTAAAGCCAAATATTTTCTATGATCTACTGATTGTCATTGGTCATCAGTACCTGTCAACGCACTATGGATGTTCCTTTAAGGTGAGAATGAATTTAAAATGTACACTCTCTGTGTGTTTCACAGTTATGGGGACCATGTTCAGCATTTCAAGGTGCTGCAGGATCGCTGTGGTCAGTACTATGTGTGGGACGAGCTCTTCTCCTCTCTGAACGAGCTGGTGGACTTTTACCATAGCAACAGCATCGCTAAGGAGAGGACTGTCTTTCTGAGGGACCCCGAGCACTTTGCCAGGGTGAGCATGTGACTCCTTGTTTTCTGTGTCTCTTTCTTTCTTTCTTTCTTTCACACATTTTAAACTGTTAATACCAAAGCAAAAGGAACAAATATCAAGAGACAATTTAATCAGTAATTAAACAGGATTAGTTTTAACATTAAAGTCCTTCCTGAGTGGAACTGACTGGTTTATACATGTTGACAAAGGAAAGGTGGAGGTAATGTGTGTATTATTTAAAAAAAAAAGCTATTAACTAATCATCATTTAGAAAATATAACTTGAGATAATAGAATAAATAGAATAACAGAAAAATAATAATTTTATTCTTTCAAACAGACATCGCTGATTCATTTTATCAATATCATTTTCACCAAATCCTCTTAGACTTTCTGTACCTCAAGTGTTGTTTCCTCTGACAATACTTTTAATTTGAGGAAATAGTTTTGAATTATTACTGTTTGAAATGTCGGAAATTCGTTATTCTTACTCAGTGCAGCTCAACAGGAACCGCTGCTTTCCGAGAAATCACCCACAGCAGTTACGTAGCACTATTTATTTTGCAATGTCAATTTCAATCTCCTCTCTAAACCATTTAAAACACATCTGTTCTGTTGTTCAGCCTCCCTCGTCTTCCCTCTTCTATTCAAGCCGCCAGAGATTTAATTAAATATCTGATGAGACTTTAAGACACAGTGAAGCAGCATTTTTGAACAAAAAAAAAGGATATTTTCTATTGTCGAATCAGTGTGTTTTTACAAACATAACAAGCTACCCAGGTGTTCATATTTCATTTTGCTGTGACTTTGAGGCATAACCATTTTTTTAATGGAGTTGACAGCTATGGGAACACTCCATATGTTGGTGAAATTTCTGGTGCTGTGGCTGTGGCAGCAGGGTTTGACGTAGAGGTGCAGCTCGAAATGAAAGATCACAGGACTGCCGTCGGTTTGGAGCAGAACCAAATCAGTCATCTCAGGCGCCGAGCCAGAGGGAGTGAGCACTGCTGAGCTAAAGAAAACTGATTTAAGAGGCAATTATTTACATCAGTCATGATTAAGTTGCTATGTATCATGTTTAGACAGAACATTTCTTCAGTTTGTTGTGTTTAGTCCAAATTCCCTTTGGAGTTCAGACACCTAATGAGCCTGCTTGAGGTTTTTTACACCCATCTACACCATTTCTAGGCTATTTCAGTTTTTTATAAGATGAAATAGGTGGTTTAATATACATCACTTGTTCCAAGTTAGTTTGATAAGACCATACATATTAATATGTAGGTTAAACTATCCAAAACACACTGTCAGTCAGCAATAATGCTGCGGCGCGGCGGCTAGGCGTATCCCAGATTTCAGTATATTGACAATATGTTCTGTCAGGTTTAGTAGAAAATATAAATGACAGGTAGTTCCCATGATGGTGTCATCGTGGGAGAAGCTGTTGTTCTTGCTATTGTGAAGTCATTATGCAGGCAGGATCACATTGCATGTTAAGTATGTCTGGGAGTGGCAGGCGAGCCGCACCTGCAGGCGAGCCCGGTCGCTATGGAGGGATGTGATCCACAGCGATCCTGACATGACAGCATGTTCACTGTGCTTTGCTGTCGCTGCTAATACCCATCGCATCATATTCACTTCTGGAGTCAGGCACCTGAGAATAGGCCGCCGTCCGTTTAGGGTGCTCAACATGCAGCGGCCATGACTCAGAGCGTGCATGGGGAAAAAAAGGCACCAATGACTTCTAATCCTGTCAGTTCATCGATGGCCACTTTAAAAACATTTTTTTTTTTACATTTGTCGTCCCTACAACATAAGAGTATAAATCGACATACTTCTATGAATTTTGTAAGTTTGCCCTATAATAAGGGCAACACATATTCTATATGGTACTCGGCTCATTTATGCTTCCTGTGTGAAGGATTAACAGGATGTGACAAGTTATATTTAGGTCACATTACTCATTAGAGATGCATCTCATCATTGGTGGCGAAAAGCCCATCGCTCTCGTATATATATATATATATCAGTAAACACGATTAATAAAGAATGTCAAAATCTTCTCAGCTCTCCTCTAATTTTGTTTCATATTCATTTTAAATAATGGAAACTTTATGAATGTGAGCAGGAATAAAGGTTTGTCCATTGTCCATGTGGGAAAGGATGAAAAAAATAGTTAAAGTCCAGTCTAAAACCAGAGCTATATATTTAAATGTTCCTATAATTTGAACAGTAGGTCAGGTTTGAAGTGTGTGTCGATTTTGAAGGGTACAGAAGCATTTTAATAAAACTCTAAAACAACTTCCAGGTTTCTACATCTGTTTTACTGACACTTCTTTTAGTACATGATGCAGACTGGGTCTGTTTGTAACCAGTTCTTTGACTCCGTGGTTTATTGTGCTGCAGAATCAAACCTTGCACTGCACCGCATGCAAGCAAAAAGGCTCTGGTCTCCAAGGTGCTGACATGCAACTAGCCTGCCACTGCTGGTTTGGGGTATTTTTGTGACAATCAGATGGGAAGTGAAGAGTTTAGCGGCCAATGAGTCATTGCTGTAAATAAAACTACAACAAACAGAGTGAAACACACATGCATATACATCCTCTTGTGTCGAGACAGTATTTTTTATTTTTTAACACTTTCAAGCAGGTGTTGGTATTCTGGCAAGGCAGCACATTGCCCCCCCCCCCCAGTCAAAAGCTTGGAGTTGAATGACTGCAGTAATATTTGTCTATAAAAATGAAGTAGAAGCAAAACCTTAAAGAATGGGCTGATAGCACTAGTTTAAAATGCATTACTTGGAATACTCTCATGCATTTTAGAGCATATGTGAGATTACTGAATGAATGCACGCACAAATATGTTTCTATTTCCAAACAGAACAATGTGACGAAATATCAATAGAATTCAATATTTTCGTGCTCACATGATCAGCACTAGCAGCATTTGATGAAAATCTTTAATGTGTTGAGAACCTAAGCCCGACTGGATCTTAAGTCCTTCTGAAGATGATTCACATTTATTGATCTTTGTGATGGGTGAGCTTTACTTCTACTAAATCTGGTCCTCAGATGCAGGGAGCTCCTCTCACCCCATTCGTCATATAGTCTGCAGGATTTTGGCGTTTATCCAACTCTTCTTTCCCCTAAAACTTGATTTTATAGCTCAGAGACGGGGATGGTTTTTGAGACGGTTTGCTGAGCAGGCAGACTGCTGCAGTTTTTCACCTGGTGGCGCAGGAGACTTTCAGACTGGGGATGGCAGGTTTTGATACTAAGAACAAGTTTTTGTTTCACGTGCTGCTTCTGACAAATTTAGCTCTTGTTTAGTAACATCCTGCCTCACACCTGAACAGATTCACGCATGTTCTAAATCACTGGGGATGTTGCACAATATGTTCAGTCCTGCAAACGCAGCTGGAGCAGGTGCAAGTTAAGAATTTTGCTTTAGGGCATTACAATGCAGTTAAACTGAAAGGCAGGCGTCCCATGGGAGAGTGAAAAACTGTATGACCTAAATACTGTCACAGTCTAAACCTCTTTAATGTGAGCAACTAACACATGAAAACAACACCGGGTCTTTCTGAGCATTTTGCTTTTCTGAGAATTTTTTTATTTTTATTGTTTATACAATAGTTTACGTAGCTGCTCCACCTACAACCGGCTGGTGTCATGACCTCCACATAATAGCACAGTAACAATAATTGCTCTAACTATCATTCTGTCGCCATGCAAAATTACCTTCATCTACTGGTCTGCCTCGACTTCTGACAAAACTTAAGCAAAGTCAAACTTGTAAATTCAGACAGATGCTGTTTTCTTTTAATGTTTTATAGGCAATTATTGCTGTCATTAAGCTGATTTAAGAGCGTAGCTGAATGTTTATGCTTGTTAATTTCATTGTCATTTCATACTCCTGTATTCTCTCCATCACATTTTAGTGCGGTGACTCACGTTAGTCAAGTCGTGAATTGACAGGTAGAAGCAGTCATTGGTGTCTCTCCTGTTATTGTTATTATTATTAATATTATTATTTTGGGATGATATTTTGGCTACTGTTGGTCTTCAACAAAGGGGGAATGGTACTCCATTAGCTACCCTACCCACCTCTTCACAGCTGTTCCTGAGATTTATTCAGTGATTCACAAGCCTGCATCTAATCTTTAGGCTGTTATTGCTCTTGCTACGGTAATAACACTCAAAGCGGAATATGCTGGAAAGTATGTTTTAAATGTTTGCTTATGCTGTAATGCTTTGCAATTTATTAACCAGTTGCAAAATGTTGTAAAATGAAAATAAAACATGCTTTGTCAGTAATAGTGTCCATTGTAGACTAAACCATGTTGGACTCCCATCAAGTTAAGACACAAATAATTACACTGCTGTTCAGTGTAAGGGCCCAGATTGAAGCCGGTTGTTGTAGATTGTACTTATTTATTAGCACATTGTTTTTTTGAATGTTTTCCTCATTTTTTATTCCATCATCCTATGACGTGATAAGTCCAGGGTCAATACAATACCATATACTGAACAAAACTACTTTGTATATTGTACTGTAAGGCCATCAGGGATATGCTTATTTACAGAAAGGTTCATTAGGGCGGTATACGGTACTTACTCTATGTTATTCTGCCCCAGGTCTGAATTATGTTGGCATAGCTCGCCTTGCTGTCCTGTATTAATGTCATCATCTAATAAGGGTTGTGTGCCAGGTGGGTCTTGTCTATATGCATAGACTGTACAGTCCTAAAATGTATTGTTTAGACATTACTGGGTTACTGTAATCTGGAATAAGCCAATCACCAAGAAGCATCCATGCATTTTACATTTATATTTTTGCAACTGCCATGCATAAATCTGTACAGTTAGCTTTGTAGTTCTACAAGACTAAGTCAACATCCGTGACTGTGACGGTGAAAGCAGAAGTGCTGGAGAGATGGTTAGCTTTTTCAAAAGTATCAAAAGACATCGGATCAACCACAAATAGGCCTATTGCTTTGTTACAACATTTTCTTAAAGGTCCAGT